CGTGTTTCGAAGTTAGATTGCCTTCCAATACATATCTCCACCTCGTGATATGTGGATATAAAGAAGAAAGTAATTTGAAGTCTTAAAAATAATGCATATTGTATCAGTTATATGGACCTCTATTTTCAAGTGTTTATATATTTGTTTGATTCTGTGCTATTTTTAAATTTTAAATTTCATAAATTGGGTTGAACATGAATTATCAAGTTATAGCTACGTTTTCAACACTGAAACTTCACCTTTAGTTAAATTTAGATGTATGCCTTACTTGTATATAGCATATATGGTGGTTACCTGATACAAAACTCACCCTTTTGAATCCCCAAATTTTCACGTTATTATATTCATATCCAAATTTTTTCGCCGTTTTTTCAAGGGCAAAAGTTTATATAAGGTTGAGGCCCTAAACAATCAAATTAAGGCGCACCTAAAAGATTCACCAGAACAGGATGTTTTGAAGTCGAAAAACCATCAAATCGATCATCTCGACCTCTAGACACATAGACATGACAAAAATATATTTCAAGTATGGGAAATAGTGCATCTTGTAATGTATTATACGGGCTGTCAAGTTTCAATATTTTTAAGTATTTATAGATATTCTTGATCTACACTATTTCTGAAGCTTTAAATTTTGTAATTAGATATGAAAATAAATTTCATGGCCATCATAAAGATTTTTGCTGCTGACAATCATCTTTCAGCACTATTTAGAGGTATGCATTCTTTGATTGTTTAGGGCCTTGGTCTTATACAAACCACACCCTTTTTCAGAATAATGACACGGCCCCTGAAATCTTTTAGATCAAAGGTTTCTAGAGAGAATATTTTTGGAATTACTGCTGCAGAAGCACCAGAAAGCTTCAAAATCTCGACAACAAAAACACCAGAAAGCTCTGAAGGTATCCTGCTTTCTAATTTATTTCGAGATTCCCATCCCCTACCGATTCACCCCAAGCTCAATTTTTAGGGCTTCTCGATCCATTTTTCTATTTCTTAATTTTCGTTTCTTCATTTCCTTGTTGGGTCTTGATATAGTCCATTTTAATTGATATCTGATTATACATTTCAAAATTTTCTTTTTTGTTTATTTCAATTTATTGTTCTTCAAAATTTTGCAGGTTGAAGCCAAACACAAATGAACACAGCTATAAAAAGCTGCAGACCCCTAAAGAACTGAAATGGAACCCCAGGCTTAAAGAGAGAAGTTAATGACGAGAACTCCAAAAATAATAGGTCTTTTCTCAATGGGGTTTAGGGTTCTAATAAATTTGTTTTACTAAATTCCATACTATGTAATTACTTAGACTGTTATAAAGCTTATACGTTCTTTCAAAACTACTTTGTTTTTTAGTTTTTATTGATTCCCAATTTCTTTCTTGATGTTTTTTGTCCAAGCCCATAAGAAACCAGATTGAAAGTGGCTTTGTGAAGAAACCATTTCGAAGAATGGCGGTTTCTCGACTCAGAGAAGCTGGTCTGCCATTAATGAATCTTTTGAAGCTCAGGGGAAAACCCATTTTGGAGCAACTCCAACTGGAGGAAAGGCTTCTTCGTACATCTTCGGACAATTGGTGCATCATCAATGATGGCACAAACACACCCACCATCGTGATGGGCATATCGGGGTAACTCTCTCTCTCTCTCCTTCTCTTTCTCTAAAACCAATACCTCATTTCTTGTTTTTGCCTATAGATTCATCATCATCATAAAATCCTTTTCCCAACTATTTGGGGTCGGCTACACCAATCTTGATTTGCCATTTTGCTTTATCAAGGGTCATATTCTCAGTTAGGCTATAAGTCCCTATATCTTTTCTCACTACTTCTAACCATGTGCTTTTGGGGCTAGCCCTTGCGTTTTTTAGCCTCCACTTGACCCACCCGCACCTCTTAACAGGTGTTGTACAGGGTGTCAGCGCTGCACATGGTCAGCCCACCTAAGTTTACTTTCTCTCATCTTATCGCTTGTTGGAATACCTAAGTCTTTCCATATGTATTCATTTCAAATTCTATCCCGTCTTGTTTTGCCACTCATCCTTTTCAACATCTTCATCTCAGCTACACTTATCTTATGGATATATTGTTTCTTGATAGCTCAACATTCCGCCCCATAAAGCAAAGCTGATTTTACGGTTGTCTTGTAGAACATCCCGTTTAGCTTCATTGGAATGCGATAATTACATAAAACTTCAGTTGCATATCTTCATTTTGCCCACCCACCCAACTCTAATTTTATGTGCAACATCTTCCTCAATCTCTCTATTTTTTTTATTATCGACCCAATATATCAAAAATTCTAGCTTTTTGGTATTTCTTGGTCGTCAATCTCAACTAAACTTGCAGTCTATATACTTTGTCTTAGTCCAACGAATTTTAAAACCTTTACATTATAAAGCATCTTTCTAAAGTTCTAACTTTATGTTGATGCCGCTTCGGGCCTTTTTAATCAAAACTATATCGTCCGCGAACAACATGCACCCCAATACCTTATCTTGTAAGTGCCTAGTTAAGTCGTTCATAATTAAGACTAAGGTATGGGTTCAACATTGACCCTTGATGTAAACTTATTATCACTTCATCCGTCTTCCCACTAGTTGCTCGCACACTAGTCAACGCTCCCTCATATATATCTCTTACTAAGTCGCTATAGTATTTAGAGACTCTTTTTTTCCCAACACCCATTAAATTAAATATCTAGGTACTCTAT